GCCATCTGGTTAGTGTGGCGAGAACTACTTAAATGAAAAAATTGAAATACTAGAAACTCCTTCGGGCTCACGTTCACAAAAGAGACCCCCTCATCTGAGGGATTACAGTTCCTTGATCTAAGATTGGTCCCCACCAGTGTCTGGATCTGCTGGTCCAATCAGCAAAGGTCTGCGAAACCTGTCCTGCCGTTCAGCAATTCGCACTGAAAAAACGTAAAAACTTGTATTGTCCGAAACCTTATTGCTGCTGCCAAATCCAAGTCGTGTCATCACCTTTCCGCAACTAGTCTGTCCAGTCAGATAGGCCACCTTCTCAAGGCAGGTTACCCAAACGACTTGATCGAGCTGACCATCAAAAGACTTGTTACAGGGCCTCTATCCCAAAAGCCGCCTCCAAAGCCCGCTTCGCGTGCATCCCCTACATTCATAATATTTCCCATCGACTGAAATCAATAGCGGAGGGCTTCAACACCAACGTGGTTTTATCGTGTAAGTTTAAATTGGCATCTATTTGAAAAAAAAGTGAACAGCCCCGTACCAGCGCCTTGTTGCCAAAAGAACCACAAAACCTGTTACGTTCCTTGCTTCAAACAGTGTGTTTATTCAATTCCTATGTCCTGTGGTGCCCGATACATCGGCAAAATGGGGCGATGCTTAAACGACCGCCTGAGAGAGCACGCGAACGAGATTAAAAAAGCGGTATCCAACGGTTCAGAGGTTATTCACCATCCGATCGCCAAACACGCATCGGAATGTACTTCCTGCTCGGCCGTCCTTCCATCTAGTACAAGAATCGAGGGTTACCCCTCAAGATATGGTCAGGAGGTTCTAGAAGCCTTAGCCATGTGTCGATCCAAGGACAACATAGGTTCCCTTTCCATAGCCCTTTCGGGGAAAGAGATAACCTTTCTTAGTTCGGAGCTTTCTCCCCCCACGTTCCCGACAGCGACGACGTACCCTTGACGGCATAGTGCTCCTTCTTTCCACGCCTTCTTTCGACCCCCCCCCCCCCTTTTCTTGTATATAAACAACTCTTGGTGTAAATTACTCATCTACAGCTAAGTGACCGATTACCCGTTGAGGCGCATCTCCATCAAGGCTGTATAAAAATAAAGAGCAAACCAATTTTATTAAATGTTGTTGCCAGATGGAAGTTTGCGTTTGTGCGTCCCTTCTCGTTTTCTTCCTCAAGTTTAATGAACAACAGTCAATGGTGGTTCCCCCGACGCAGTCATCGGACGGTGCATCAATACCAGCGCACTGCTCGACAAACACAGACGCGTCCACTACCCCCGACGACATATCAGCACAGTCATCACCGATCCACCCGGCGTCCGACGGGTCCCCAACGCCCGACGACGGGGAACTATGGTGGCTAGAGAGTTGGGTGTGTCGAGCGCGCCGGTTCGCCCATGCATTGCCGCGGCCGCTTTAGAAAATCTGCCGCCAGGGGCGCTACCTCCACCCTGTATGCCAGGCGCGCGCGACAATTTGGAGGCGGGGAACTGGTTTTAAACCGAAACCAGATGTGCGCGTTGCTTTTATCCATCTTCTTTCGCTTCCGTCGCTTTGTTCCAATCCCTTTTTGCATTCCTTGTACTTAGTGCACACCAAAAGCCATGAACGTCCAACCATTTACCTCTGTGGCAAAGAAGAAACAGCGAGCGAAGCATTGCTTCGTACCGGGGTGCTCGACCGGCTACAGATCTGCGGAAGGCAAGCACGCGCTGTTCGCTGTTCCGAAGGATCCTGTCCTGTTTTCGCAGTGGGGTAAAAATATTCCAAGAGCCGACATATCTCTGCAGTCGCACTCCGTGGTATGCGAACTCCACTTTGATGAGCGGAACATCGAGAGATATTATCCCGAAGTCCGCGTCGAAGGGGATGTCGTCAGAATGAAACGCAGCGTTCCGCTCCTCGCACCAGATGCCGTTCCGACGGTGTTCCCAAACCTACCGAAGTACCTGACCAAAAAGACGCCCCAAAAACGCAAAGATCGCTCCGGAGGGGAAAGCCAACTTGCGAAATGCGCCCGCAGAAGTAACCCCATCCACGCAAAGTCAGCTTCAGTGCCCGATTTTTCATCCGCACCAGCCGAACCAGTCTCCAACCTGCGCAAAGACTGCTGTGACGGAGTCGTCGTTCCGTCGTCCAAGTGGATCAAACATCCATTCCCGGAGTGCACAGTATTTGCCGATGTGCACCTGGGTCCCACCAAAAGTGCCCTGCTTGCCGACAAGTTGATGTTGGTCACAGAAGCATCACCAGCTACTGGGGAGGAAAAGCTCGTCTGCACGCTTCTCTTGAAAGGGAGCACGCACAAGGAGGTGCAGCTGACAACTGCAACTGAGCTCCAGCAGTTTCTCGACGACACAGACCGTTCAGAACTTTGCATTGGTGCTGGAGTTTCCGAGGAATTCCTTCCTCTGCAAGTAGGCGACACCGCAACGGTGAGAATACGAGAAGGTGCAGCCATCAGCCGAAAGTGTGCACGGACGGTGGACACACAGGGTAATTAATTTTACTTTACATCTGAATGCTAACATATTGAATTTATATTTAAAAAAAAGAAACTAAGACGCACAATATATTTTCCGAATCTTGGAAGGGGAAAAATTTAGGAACTGTCAAGAAGACAAAGATTAACTTCTTCATTTGATTGTTTACTGAAATCGACAGAAATGTTTGGAGACAATTGCCCCCCCCCCTTCTTTTTTGCGAATGCCACTGGACAAGCAGAGGGTCTAAACAAGGCGATCACAATAGTATTCATTCTGCTCGACTCTCTAGCCGACAAGTTATGCAGGTGGCACATACCATTAGTTAATATTGTTAAGCTATAGGACAAGTAAATATCAAGTGCTAGCAACTGAGAGTATGAACATGTTTCTCCTTTTAGGCACTGCCTGCCTGCAATGCAAGTATGCGAGGAAGCTACTCTTTTCAAGGCGATGGAGGGCAATGCACCCAAAAGCAACTGCCCGCCTTAACGTCAGGAACATAAGGAAGCAACTGAAGCGTGGAGAAAAAAAGTTACGATTCCTGGCGGACAGTGTGAAGGAACTCAAAAAACAAACCGCTACCATCGAACTCTCCGTGCTTGAAGAAAAGGTATTTTGTGGTATGATAAGCTATAAATAGTAATAAGTTAGACTGATGTTTTGATATATTACAGATCAAGACACTGCCACCAAAACAGCAGTTGAGTGTGAAGCACTGCTTCGAGGCTGCGAAAAGAAAATCCTCAAAAGGGATGGGCTACAAACAGGAGTGGATGCTCGAGTGCATTCTCATGAGGTATTGTCATAGCAAAGCTAGCAAACTCAATTATCTCTAACCATGAAAATAGTGAGGTTAAGTTTAAAATGGCAAACTTCAGCCGAATTTGTTTGAAAAAAAAAAAAAAGACGTCTTATGTTTCCATGGAAATAAAAAAGGCCAGAGGTAAGGGGAACAATACGAGATTTAACAAGAGAGCCAGATACATAGAAGTACTCAACACTAAGACAAGGGCTGTTTCAATAACATGCATCTCAAACTTGATAATAAGAAATGTCGAAAGCTGGGCTGTCCAGTTTCGACTTGGGTTTTTGCCCTAGCGAACACTCGCCCATCACTGATATAGCCACATTAAGATATGAACACAGTAGCATCATGTTAATGGAGTTTCTGACATTAAATATTGCCTCCCCATTTGCTTAGTTTGCATATTCTATAGCTGCTAAGCTTAACACATCTTTTTTCTATACTTTAGTTTTTGTATTTTTCTTGTTACAGAATGAAGGACCCACGGCTATACAGCCACCTTCGACAGAACAACATCCTCGCTCTCCCTGGGCGGACCACACTAAAAAAGTATCTGAGGCGGTACAAAGGTGGGTTTGGGTTTAATCCGACAACATTCACTGCACTGAAGGAAAAGACAGCCGACATGAGCGAACTTCAAGGCAAGGGGGTCTGGTGCTGGACGAGATGAAGTTGTCCGAGAACGTCGTTGTCCAGGCATCCGGTAAAGCAGAAGGCTTCGTCGATCTGGGTCAGTTCACGTCTGAGGAGCACAAAGGAGTACTTGCAGACCATGGTATGGTTCTACTCTTCCAGCCTTTCTGTGGAAAATGGACACAAATATTAGGTAAACGACAAAAGGATATCGGCAGAAATCCATACATATTACTGATATTTCTGAAATCATAGTAATGTGAAAAAATATTCCCAGGCGTTTTTGCATCACGTGGAAATGTCAAGGCCGGTCTCCTCTCCAAGATCACTGTAGACACCGTGCTTCTGGCCGAACAGGCTGGACTGTTCATCGACTACATCTGCTGTGATGCAGCTTCATGGAACAGAAGCATGTGGAGGCAATTTAGTATCAAGGTATTTCTAAGTCTGCGCTGTGTCAAGCCTAGCCTGCATACGTTGAAATCACCTGTTTTGTAATTTACCTATAAAATTTCGGGCATCGCTCAAGAAAACGACGTGCAAGAGCCAACACCCATCTGGCCCAGGGAGGTATCTCCACTTCATCTCCGATTTCCCACACCTCATTAAGTGTCTACGCAACATGTTCTTGAAGACTGGATTTCGCACACCACAAGGCCACGTAAGAACTAGTCTTTCATTAGTGTAAAGTGTTTCAGAAAAGTGTAGAAGTTTCATTACTAAAGCTTTCACACTTTCAGAAATAACAAATGTTTTGTTATAGTCGATCACTAGTCAGAGAGTTATATTTTAGAAAGGGGCCATACTTTGGCGCTGAATTTCATTCTCTCAACAGGCTGGAAGAGAGCACATCGTTGAAGCCTGGAAGTACGACTCCAGCTCTCTGAAGCTCAGGGCAATGCCACGCATTACCCACACTCACCTGTTCCCAAACGCATTTGAGAAGATGAGGGTCAACCTGGCCTTCCACCTCTTCAGCGAGGAGGTTGAAAGGGGTCTTCACCTCTGCCAGGAGCAGATCCAAAAGGCACGTGGGAACCACCAGGGGCCGCTCCAGCTGCACAAGCACATATCAACCTTAATCAGAGTGATGACTTCCCGCTGCCCCTACGATGCCCTGAGGTAATAGCACTATGTTTTTTTACAGCTAGCCATAACCCACACCCCTTATACAGTCCACATGTTCCTATTTAGGCTGAAAAGATAATTTTCTTCAACGTTTCATCGAGTGTATACTTGATAGGGGAAGATTTAGATAGAAAACAACTGCCTTTCCTTAGACGGTCTGCACCTAATGCATAGCCCAGACATACAAAATGTGCGAACGGAAGCCAGGGGCTATTTGTTGCCTCTTCGTCAAGAGATCGCACAGCGTCTCCTCAAGATTAAGCGTGACCCATATTTGCTGGCAGGGGCAGCTAACTTGTGCATTAGCCATGAGGGCATCCAGACCGAGTACACCACACCGAAAGAAAGATGTTGTGTTACTGGCTATACACCATTCCATGTAAGCGCTTCAGGACACATTCATTGCTTGTATGTTCATTTCGCACAAGTCTGCGAAATGAACTGGACTGCGATTTTTTTAAACAGTAAAATCGTCTATAGTACCCAGCTGTAAACAGGGTGATCTAGAGAAGAGGTGCACAGTCTGCACCCCGAGATAGTTTACACAGCATAAAAAATAAACTTTTCAGCATATATAGTCTGCAGACTGCAGCCCGGAAATTACCATACTTCAGTTCCCAAGGGCACCCTTCGAACTTCTGAACTTTCTCGGTAGTCCCTACCCTCAAAAAAGCATTTTTTTTCTTGATTGGAACACTATTTAGCATGTCTAAACTACCCATTGATGCATACCTGGGTGCAAAATGTTCCCCAATGTCTGTATTATTGTCACAAGGTCTCTAAGACTCTGTGCTGCTTCAGTGCCAGAACGCAGAAAGCGAGAGGAGTCTCCTGGCTGTCAATCAGGAGGGAGTCGGGTGCCTCAATGTCCTTCTGTTTAGGGTGATTCCACCCTTTGTAGTACCCGATTCCGACAGCACATGTTCACGGGCAAAATACAAAAAAATCGACAAAAACAAAATTCAGAATGTCGCCATAGCACACTCAGTGCCACAAATGCATGCACAGACACGCTCCTCTGAAAATAAATCAAAATGAAAGCGCGGCACAAAATGGCCAGATGTCTCCGCCCTAAGCAAAGCGCACATGAAGGCACCCTAGGAGAGAGGGGTGTTTCTTGGGATTTAAAGATTAAGAACCTGTACTAAAGCATTTTATTTTGCCTGTGACATGAGCCCAAGATGCTAATTTCTGTCCAGGCCCGGATCCGAACAGGCAAAGCATATTGACGACTTCCTTGCCTACCTGGACGAGTGGGAACGTGGAGCAAAAGACGGAGGCTTTGTGAGCCAAAGCACGGCTGAAGGCCTCCGGGTGACTCTCCAGAGCACCAAGAGCCTCCTTCGGTACCTGGTGACTCTTGGGTATCGCTACATGATGACAGCAAGACTCAGTCAAGACTGTATTGAAAGGCTCTTCGAAATAATCCGACAGAGCCTAGGGCCAAACGACCATCCTACCCCAGCGCAGTTCCTGATTTTAGTGAACTGCCTAAGTTTTTACAACCTGGCAAAGTCACCGTCTGGAGGGAGCGTCTCTAAGGGAGTGCTGAATTCCTTGCTATCTGCAGAGGATGCCGGAAAGACGGCAAGGGACCAACTCGACGCTTTGCTCGAAGCTGGCAAGCTGGACGACGTGGAAGAAGTCCTCATAGAAGATGACCATGCTAGCTGTTTTGAGGAGACCAGCGACTCTCGGCTGGTTTACTACATGGCTGGTTACGCAGCTCGCAAGTGCATCACCAAGAAAGGGGGATGTGGAGACTGCAAGGTCGCCTGTCTCAGAGAGTCCACACCAACAGCTGCAGACCACGCTGCCTCATACATGTGCTCGTTTGACAGGGGTGGACTCCTCTATGCAACAGACGGGCTCTTTGGGCTCATCAGCCACCTCGAAAATGTGTTCACAAGGTGCTTTAGCAAGCGCAAGCTACATGCAAATAGCATTGTTAACATTCTTAGCTGCGTTGGGGGCAACGTTCCTGGTGTTGGGTGTGATGAGCACAAAATGGAGTTGACGAACAGCATCACACGTTTCTACCTTATCACACGCCTGCACTTCTATGTGAAGCAAAAGAACAAGCTGCGAAATGAGCGAAAGCAAAAACAGCAGCTCTCAAAGAGGGGCAGGTTGCTCTGAAATGTTTGCATCAAGGTGAATCATTTTTCTGACTACAGTTCACCACAGCCCATTTCAACTATCTTTTTTGTCCCTGGAGCTAACCTTTGTTATGACCTTCGGGGTTACAGTCATTATTTTACAGGGTTTCAGCTCATTACCTTAATTTGCATGTGATAAAAGCGCAAAAAGAACGGTAGAGACTGGAAAGGTAACAATGTTTGCAAGTGATTGAGAAATGCGATATGTAAGTGCAATGATTTTAGACTTCAAACTTTATGTGATATGTAAGTGCAATGATTTTGAGACTTCAAACTTTAAGTGAAAAAATAAGAGTTACTTTTGACCAAACATTGGTATGCTATGTATTAGTTTTGACTTGTAAATATGTTCATTTTTTTTTTCAATCAATTTCGTACTTCGTCACCAAGTTTGTACTTGGAATAAAAATGCGCAGTACCGCGAACCTGTTCTCCGCTCTAAGCCATGGCAAATTTTCGCGTTGTTTTCCGCCGTCCAAGTCTGCGCTTTCTTTAACCGCAGAAAGATCGCACCACGATTCACCAATTCCTTTCATATATATTATCATGTTGAAGTGCACATGCGGTTCAGCGTTGATCCATTTGAGAGACGATACTGATACGCTTTACTGGGGACAGCGGCTTGAAACGCGAAATTTCCTCACGGCCCCTATAACCTCTAAGACGTTTAGCATGTCTAAAAAAAATGTAACACACGACGGCAACTAAAATATACTCCAAGCTTTTTACAATACCTTGTCATCGTCATCTCGGGGACTTCTTCCTTGGGAAAAAACGTCACCGCCGTGGTGAGGCAAGAAAGGCTCCAAATCCGTATTTTCCCGCTGTGACGTTCCGAAATGAGGTCGACTGTGGGATCTAGGTACATCAAACTAATAATACGCCACAATTATTAGTTCCGTAACGACAGAGAACCGAAAACTTCGCGAAAAACAATCCCCACACGGCCTACATCGACGCTCGTCGCAGCCATTTGTAGCAATCGGCTAGCATACAGGGCTACTGAAGCGCCTCCTGGCGACAGATTTCCATTTCGGTGCCGCGCGCCCGCCGCCGCTCGACACACCCAACTCTCTAGCCACCCTAGGGGAACCCAGCAGCTGGACCTAGAGCCACTCTATATGGCAGCGTAGCTGCCAGAGTAGCGACACGACGCAAAATTACCTAGATGCACGACGTCAGAAGCGCTGATAGTGATCTCCATTTTGGGCCTGGGAGGTTGCCATGGTAACCGTGCTTTTAGCGACGCCGGGCGGCAACCTTTGTAGTCTAGTTGATATCTCCATTCGTTCATTGAAAAGTGGTATAAGACGCTCGGCATCGCGGTACGGCAAAAACCTCTGGAGGAGCGGTGCCCGTTTTTTCTGAAAAGTGAGTGAGACGATTTGCACCCAGGGACTGTCGGGCGACGAGAGCTGCTATGGTATCGTACGTGCACGGACAAGGCGAGTGGTTTTCGGCGCCGCCGGGATGGCGGCCGCTTCGTGGGACGAAGGCACCGTCCTAGTACTTTTGGACTTCTCTCCGATGGAACAAAATCCGATTACGCCGGCCGCGACAGGACGATTGGCTTGGAACATGACTGCTGCTTGACTGCCCTATTGTGAGCGAGTATATATGTTTAGCATCATACTTCTTCAAGACCCGATCATCCCTTCAAGATGAGATTTTCTCACCGACTGGTGAGGAGCGACGTCGACGGGGTTTAACCGTTCAACCAAGAAGGACGGCTTGGTGGTCTCTAGGGAATTGTTGACGCCATCAAAAGAGACGGACGCCGGATATGAGGTGTTCTTGCCGACAGGCCAAATGGTCGTTCGGAAGTTTACCGGCATTCAAAAAGTCAATATTTTTATCTGGTGTAGCATACATATCCGTGCTAAAAGGGCCACGAAATTATTTTTAAACTTCTTCTTCCTTACCTGTAATCCTCAACTCAGAAGAGAACTGTGAAATCACGCGGTCGTGACATGCTAGGGCACCGGTGCGATTACCCCAAGCTTTCACCGTGCTTTTTAAGCACACCGTAGAACTTGGCATTCGCAATTAATGATAAGTTCCGTCAGGGCACTCATTCGCCAGAAACGCGAATTCAAATATCCATGGACGAATTGATTGCTGACGAGCGCATACATCCGTGCGACGCAGTTTTCGTGTCCAATGCGTGAGTTGGGGTCGGCTGAAGTCATTTTGGCCTTTGTAGGCATTGTAAATAGGATATTTAGAACCATAAACACATGATGATAACGTCATAGCACACTGAGATTAAGGAGCACAAAACGGGCACAGCTACAGAAAATAAATATTACACTCGTAAGAAATAAATACGTCTGTAACTTGTTAATTACAAAGACGAACACACCTCTGAGCATCTATGTTTAATAGTATGTGTTGATGCTTTGTCATATAGCAGGACATTTTAAATACGCCACTTGAGCAAACGCCAGCTTTTTGCTTGAAAAACAAACCAAAAAACGCTGCGGTCAAATGCAAGCCATTGCAACGAAAGCAAGTTATATGAAAATCTTCAGAACTGCCGATTCGTAGAATTGGCGATTAGTAAAAAAGGTTAAAGATCGCAGGAGCTTCCTCGCTAAAAAATGATGTGATTATTCGGTGGCCCAGGGCTGAAACAATTTCCACTAGGCCCTACACGCGCCGTATACCTTTCGTTATGATTCTCAGAAATTCAGACTTTCAAAGGAAGCTAGAAAAATGCGAACCTAAAAGCTATGTGGAGCGCAAGTTCGTCTGCTTCTTTTTGCAGGGGTTGTGGTGACGTCAGAACGCCGATATCTGAGTGGCTCCGATTGAAGGAGAGTGGGTAGACCTAGAAGCAAGCTGCCTTGAGGTCTACCCGCTATTCTTTATTCCGAACCAATCAGAGCTCGGCATTCTGACGTCACCACAACCCCTAATAAAAGAAGCAGACGAACTTGCGTTGCGCATATCGTAAAATCGTTACTTAGTATACTTGGGAGTTGTGTGAATATTTATACAGCGTGTACTTGGTCAGCCATTTCAAAGTTGCGACGAGTCACTCGATGTAGATGAGCAATTTAGCCAATGCAGTATAACCGCTAGCTCTATAGGTCTTTAACGTGCACCACGCAGTAGTGATATACAACCGCAGGCCGGTACGATGCTCATCCAGATCGAAACGGGCAGGGGTGGCGATTGAACCCAGGTTCCCTGGTTGATTAGTACACAACGTAAACATCGCAGGAGCTTCCTCGCTAAAAGTTTGTGATCATGCGGTTACCTGGGGCAAGAACAAATTCCCCAAGGCCAAACATGCGACGCATAGATTTCGCTTCGATTCTCAGACACTCCAACGTCAAATAAAGCTAAGAGAATGCGATAATTGCGTGCTAAATGTCTTATCGATCCTCAAACTCATCCGGAAACCCGAGCACCGCAAAAACGATATTAACGATGCTGTCGCACAGGTGCTAATATCCAGAGCGATCTTGCACAGAAAGGGTATAAAGTATAATTATTTCACATCTTCACGTAATACCTATGTCAGAAAGCACGAAGAAGCCCTAAATCGTCGGCAAGCTGCGGCACATCACGACTCCGCGCACCGAACAAACTCGGATCCACCAGCTCTGGGCGCTGCCATCTTACCCATGACATCACGGCTCTTGAGAGGTCACGTGACGAGTCGTCACTCGGTTGCTACGGAAACGGAGCCAGCTCAGCTCGTTGCTATGGTACCGCGTGTGACCAATCACGGTGAGAGGCGGCACAGGGAAAAGCGTGGCGCTACTCTGGCAGCTACGCTGCCATATCGAGTGGCTCTAGCTGGACCCAAGTCGAGCCGCACATCGTGCTGCGACATGGTGTGCGTGAACGACGTCCCTCGACCGGTTTCAACACGAGGACTTTCGAAAGTGACAAAATTGTAAGCGCGGAAAAGTGTCGTAGCGCGAGCGTCTTATCACGTAGATAAATGCACACAGCTCTGTGTCTTTGTGACGTCCCTCCTAAAGGATATAAGAACAGGCGGTTCTTGTCAATAAAGGTTTTTTTGGGGTGCGATCAGCTCGGACCGAGCTCGCCTGCGTCATTTCAAATACAAAATCTTGAACACGGCGCCGGTACGGCGTCTGGATTTATTTGGAAAGTAGAGCCTGTCAATTCATTGCTCGTACAACACCATGAAGGGAGGAGCAAAATGGTGTAAGGTGTATTAAAGTGACAATAGACACTTTGTGAAATTCAGTCTTGCAACTTTGATCACTATCATCAACAACACAGCGGATCACGTTATGCTAGAATGCACAGGTATAGTGAACTAGAATAAAGGGGCAGTGGAAAAAGCGTCGGCGGCGCCCCACCGGCTGTGTGAAGCCAGAAGGGTAGACTGCCGCGAGTAGTGCTGTTGTCGAAATCTGGAGGATATGGCTACTGTAACATCGGATATGGCGTCGCGTGCGTTCTCAGATGCTTTATGCAGTATCTATGCTCGTTTTCGCAATTTGTTTTCGTGAATTCAAGTGCTTGCCATTGTGATTACATAGGTTCGCAAACGCAAAGCAATGAAAACAAATAGAAAGCAGACGGATTCGCACCGCTACGCGCCAGCATGTAAGACTGGTTAAACCGGTTTCCACTAAATTGCCCAAGTGAGCTATAAACATTAATTTATAGACGTTGAAACACCCAAAAGCATTCATAGGCCACACTCATGAACCGCTAAGATCAAAAACAAGTACGCTTATCGCGAACTTCGCAGGCAGGACTACTTCGAAATCGAACACCAGCGCTACCTGGTAGGTTCTGCACAAAGTGCCTCACCTGGAGGCCGGCTATTTTTCCACTACTCCTATAGTACAGTGTACTATAGTCGGTCGCAAGCTAAGAAAAAAACCGGAAATGCCTCTCAGAGGAAAATATAATCCTACGCCGAGAAACGCCAGCCAATCGTTCTCATGACGTCACGATTCTGTGGACCAATCGCGATCCTTTTGAACAAAAAA